GAGTTAAAATATATATTTATAATTTTAATAAATGACAAATTAAAAAGGCACGAACATTTTTTTGTATCGAAAAAATATCGAACCGTGACACCAAAGTATCGAACCGAACCGAACCATGAATTTTGTGTATCGTTGCACCCCTAGTAAATAGGGCATTGTCACACGACCCATGTGCGCCTTCAGATAAGTCCTGGAAGCATTAAGCCAGCAATTCGAGTGTGTGAATTGTTTTTTAAAAATGCACGATAGATATTCAAATAAATATTCCCCTTTTGAGACGGTGTGACAGTGTGAACGGCACAAATCCGATATTTTCAAATCCCATCTGGGTCACTTTGGTATGTGGCACTGAATACGATACATATCCGATGTTTTAGAAAGCGACTGCTGTTTCAATGGTCAGGTCGCATTAAATCCATCTTTTACGTCACTGACACAAGACAGCTGTCTGTAGATGTGGACTTTTTAAAAGTATGGTAACAGGTCTTTGAGAGCCAGAATTCTTGCTGATTGCCAGGTGTTCAAATACATATGTGCAGCAGTGCTTTACAATTAAATTATTTAAAAATCATGCAATGTGATTCAAAAAGTGTTTTATTGAAAGTTTTGTTGTGATTGAAATGTGAATCCAGAGTTTCTTTTCCCAATGAAACATTTAAAAATATATCTCTTTGTATGTTCTGCTTACATGTGCACTTTACATTGCTCAACATCGTGCAATAAACCTTGCACCTTTGGGTAAACTACTCTTTCACTCTAAAAAAGGTCGATTAGGTTTATCTGGAAGAAACGTTTCGTCACTCATCCCAGTGACTTCTTCACTCTCAGCTGACTGCAGGCTTTCCCAATCTTATAAAGGTTTTTATAAGGTTAGGATTTGGGGATTTACTTACCTGGATGACTGAGCATGCATCAGGATACTCTTTCACTCATTTTCAGTCTAGTTGTTGTACCTGACCATTTTCAGAAGAATGCTTTTGTTTGTTGAGCCACTTAACACTTCTGAACACTTTCCCATTCAAGCAGTATTCTGATCCTGATTAAAACCGGTGACTGCCTGACAGAATCCATTTTAAAGTGCACCAAAATTGGTGCTGTCAGCGTTAATCTCGTTAAAATGACATTTACGCCATAACCGCATTAGGACTGTGCGATATGACCAAAATCTCATATCCCAATAGAAGACATCTATAACGATATAAATCACAAAAATGTAACATTTGTTTTGTAAATTCTGTGAATCTCGGGCAGCTCGACTTGCGTGAAGTGTTTCCAGCTGCGCGTCATGTACCTGGAGTCGAGTGTTTTAACCGATGCATGAAACTATACGTTTTTAGACATAAGTTGTAACGGCCGCCGTTTTCTTTGTGAGTATTTATTACATGGCGTGCTGCAGGGAAAAGCCTGTTCTAACGTTTGGGTCTAAGGTTTATTTTTTAGCACCTGGCGGCTCTTTTTTTTCTTCTCATCCAAAAATACTCTGCATACTCTTTCATGTGATTCAGTTTATTTTGAAAAGTCTCAACAGGATCTTGAGCTTTATTGTGAAAGGTTTATGTGGAAAATAAACAAGCGGACACGCGATGGTTTTACCGTTGTTGTTGCTAAGGACAACGCATAAAAACAGGCGCTTTTCTGTCAGTAGTGTGGTTATATTAAATATAAGAGAAGGAGAGAACTTTAAGGAATTAATATAGCCACTACAGGGACCATCAAAACGATGAAAAAATATTGCCGTAAACAGTTTATTTTGCGACACCATGAAACAAACGATAGCGTAAAATGAAACGATGTTTTTATATTGTCATCCGATATATATCGTTATATCGAACAGCCCTACTGAATAATGGATCGAATCGATATGGGACCTTTTGAATCGGAATCGAATCCATTCTAGAAATCAGTGATGATACCCAGCCCTATTAACAAGCTAACGTGTTGACGCAGTGCAGCCCCACACAGGGGCGTCTGAGCTAACTTGCTAACGGAGAGTTGCCGTGTTAATGCGGTTATAACACACACACACACACACACACACAATTTAGTTGACTCTGCAATGAAAGCTGAGTTTGACAGGCTTAAAATCCTATTTTTGCACCAAAATGGGGGATTCCCATAGAACTGGCATATGCTGGCATAAAAAACAAAACAAAACAAGAAGACAACCTCGCTGTTAAAGAGAAGCTCTTGACCAAAACATGCAAATGATTTACCAGTTGGAGATAATGTTTCTGAATTTCTGGATTTTTTTTTTTTGTTTTGTTTATTTCTTTGTTTGTTTCTTAACAGAAGTCCAGAATATTTGTGCTTTTTTTATCATCTGTTAAGCAGTGCTGAAGTCTTATTTTTTGTAAAAAGACAGGTTGGCCTTTTTATACTGTTACGGCCTCTGGCCTCAGGTGGCCCCTCCTTCCTCTATGGAAATCAAAGGCTACGTTCACACTGCAGGCGAAAGCGCATCAAATCCGAGTTTTTTGACCCTATGCGACCCATATCCGATCATGGTGTGACAGTGTGAACGGCACAAATCCGATATTTTCAAATCCGATCTGGGTCACTTTCGTATGTGGTACTGAATCCGATACATATCCAATGTCTCAGAAAGCGACTGCTGTGTGAACGGTCAAGTCGCATTAAATCCGTCTTTTACGTCACTGACACAAGACAGACGCCAATTATCAGCGCCAGAGAAGACATCGCGAACGCTTCCTGGCCATCCGGTGAAACTCCTGGGAAGACAACGTTGGAGAAACGTTAACATTTTATTTGTACTGCATAACCTGCAGGTTCTGACAGAAATCTGCAGCTATCCTTTGAAGCACCGCTCCTCTAAAACAGCAATAAGGATCATTATTAGGTTATCTACATTATTATGTAAATAACAAAATAACTTAAAGCAAAAATTGGGAAGCATGAAGTCCGATGTCTTTATATTAAGGCCATCAGTCAAACAATATAGTTTGTTCTGGGTCTAAACAGAGCGCGTTGTGTGTGCGTTTGCTGTCGCATTTTATTTGTAGTGTGAACGAGCAGACAAAAAAATCGGATTTGATCAAAAAATCGGAATTGAGCATTAAGACCTGCAGTGTGAACGTAGCCAAAGTGCTCCAGGACTCACGGGGGATTGGCTGGCCCGGACCTATACCCGCCCCAACTTCATGCAGATCAGAGCGTGTCAGACCACTCACACCATTGGCTGCTGCAGGAGCCTTGAGTACGACAGACCAATGACACAGCTGCCTGCAATTACCTGAGAATATAAAAGGCTGTGGATTCTTCATTCGTGGAGGGACTTGTTGAATCGAACAGTCCCTCTTGCCTTTGCTTTTGCTTTTGCCTCCCGTGAGATGTTTAGATGAATAGTGTTCTACTGGTGTTAGTAGTGTTACTTGAGTTGTTTGTTATGTTTGTCTAAAATCCCTCTATTGCCTAGTGAGCTGTTTCACTAACGGTTTTCAGTTGTGTTAATAAACCTCATGTTTTTCTTTTTATCTAACCTCCTGGTCTCTGGGCTCATTTATGTTACATCCGCTGTCGCCTAGCAGAGCCGGGTCGTAACA